TACAAACGAGAGTTCAGTCAGTACCCGGTAACATAACAATGTGAATACGATTGAAGCTTGGACATACAACCGAGAACTCAATCACTACCTTGGAACACACTTGCGTGATAACACAACAAGTAGTTGGGAACACACTAACGGGAAACAAAAATGAGCCGGGAACATAATAGCGTGAACACAACCAGTCGTTAGGAACACACTAGCGTGAACACAACCAGTAATAAGGAACATACTAGCGTGAACAAAACCGGTAATAAGGAACATACTAACGTGAACACAACCAGTAATAAGGAACATATTAACGTAAACACAACCAGTAGTTAGGAACACACTAGCGTGAACACAACCAGTAGTTAGTAACATACTAGCGTGAACACATCCAGTAGTTAGGAACATACTAGCGTGAACACAACCTGTAATAAGGAACATACTAACGTGAACACAACCAGTAATAAGGAACATACTAACGTGGACACAACCAGTAATAAGGAACATACTAGCTGGAACACAACCAGTAATAAGGAACATACTAGCGTGAACACAACCAGTAATAAGGAACATACTAACATGAACACAACCAGCAATAAGGAACACACTAGCGTGAACACAACCAGTAATAAGGAACATACTAACGTGAACACAACCAGTAATAAGGAACATATTAACGTGAACACAACCAGTAATAAGGAACACAGTAGCGTGAACACAACCAGTAATAAGGAACATACTAACGTGAACACAACCAGTAGTAAGGAACATACTAGCGTGAACACAACCAGTAGTTAGGAACATACTAGCGTGAACACAACCAGGAATAAGGAACATACTAACGTGAACAACGTTAGTAATAAGGAACATACTAACGTGAACACAACAAGTAGTTAGGAACATACTAACGTGAACACAACCAGAAATAAGGAACATACTAACGTGAACACAACCAGCAGTTAGGAACATACTAACGTGAACACAACCAGTAGTAAGGAACATACTAGCGTGAACACAACCAGTAATAAGGAACATCCTAACGTGAACACAACCAGTAATAAGGAACACAGTAACGTGAACACAACCAGTAATAAGGAACATATTAACGCGAACACAACCAGTAATAAGGAACACAGTAGCGTGAACGCAACCAGTAATAAGGAACATACTAACATGAACACAACCAGTAATAAGGAACACACTAGCGTGAACACAACCAGTAATACGAAACATACTAACGTGAACACAACCAGTAATAAGGAACATACTAACGTGAACACAACCAGTAGGTAGTAACATACTAGCGTGAACACAACCAGTAGTTAGGAACACACTAACGTGAACACAACCAGTAGTTAGGAACATACTAGCGTGAACACAACCAGTAGTTAGGAACATACTAACGTGAACACAACCAGTAGGTAGTAACATACTAGCGTGAACACAACCATTAGGTAGTAACATACTAGCGTGAACACAACCAGTAGTTAGGAACACACTAACGTGAACACAACCAGTAGTTAGGAACATACTAGCGTGAACACAACCAGTAGTTAGTAACATACTAGCGTGAACACAACCATTAGGTAGTAACATACTAGCGTGAATACAACCAGTAGTTAGTTACATACTAGCGTGAACACAACCAGTAGTTAGGAACATACTAGCGTGAACACAACCAGTAGTTAGGAAGATACTAGCGAGAACACAATCAGCAGCTTGGAACATACAAATGTATTAGCGTGAACACAGTCACTGGCTGGAAATATACTACGGAGAACACAATCAGCAGCTTGGAACATACAAATGTATTAGCGTGAACACAGTCACTGGCTGGAAATATACTAGCGAGAACACGATCAGCAGCTTGGGACATACAAATGTATTAGCGTGAACTCAGTCACTGGCTGGAAATATACTAGCGAGACAAGTCTGTCCCAAAGACTTCTTGGTTCAAATCTAAATTTAAAAAAAAATATCTTCTTTCGCCTGTGGATTTGGAAAAAGAGCGTCATTTGTGTGATGGTTTAAATGGTTAGATAATTGCTTTATATCAAAATTGCAATTACTGATTCATTTTACCAGTTCTGTATAACAGAACGTTTTACACGGATCGACAAATTCAACAATTTCCAAATCTGATTTTTTAATCCATTTAACTGTTTAATATGTGACATGATTTATTTATCTTGGAATATTTTCAATCCCCAGATTGTATTTCCCTTAGTGACGGCAGATTGGTTGGCCCTTTCTAGCATTTTCTGTGTCTCAACTGAAATAGATTTAAGGATAGTACAATGGTGCACCATTTATGTGTTTATTATTATTTCTCGCAACTACGTTAATCTCGGAGAAGGGGAGATAACTATTCTCAGAAACGGTACTATGCGTAGTAATATGAAGTGGTCATTGTGTGTGAAATCAGCTGACTGGTTGCACGAGAATCGTTGTATTCATAGTGTATTCATAGTCTAATGGCAGCTGTTTTCAGTTGGTATGTACCTATACAGTTGGTGAAATACTGCGAATCCATTGACATCATCAGCCGGGTCCATCAGTCTCTAGACGTTTCAACCCTTGTCCCGGAACGTCCTCGTGATGGTGGGTCGACAATGGCGATCAACTCACTGCCCGTCAATGGATGGCTTCCAGTCTTTCTCCTCCCGTCTGTTCCACAACCAGCATGATGCGCGCTCGGCAGCCTCTGCTAGCCTACGCACCGCCGTCTTGCGTGTCTTTCCAACTAATCCCACAGCCTGCAATGTCTTCCAGGCTGAGCGTGCCGGGAACCCTCTGCATCCGACCTCCACATGAAACAGCCAAGTACGCCATCCTCGCTCCCTACATTGTTCCATGAGCTCCGTATACTTGGCTCTCTTTCTCTCATTGGCCTGGTCGCACCGCTCCTCCCAGGGCACAGTCAGCTCGATGACTATAATCTGCCTGGATTCGGCAGACCATATCACCACATCCGGACGTAGCGTTGTCTGTACGACGTCCGGAAACACCAATTTCTTCCCCAGGTCAACTCTCATCTCCCATGTCTCTGCCCCTTCCAGAATGCCAGTGTTGCCTGATGTTGCTTTCGTCTCCTTCTCCCCTGCTTTTACAAACCGGATGAAGGATGGTTTGTGCTTACGAGGTGGTCTCTTCTTCTTCCTTTCCACCTCGAGAACATCTGCCAATTCCCGAAGCACCTGGTCATGTCTCCACCGGTATCGTCCCTGTGTTAGCGCTGTCTTGCATGCCGAAAGGATATGGCCCATGGTCCCACGTTCTTGACATAGCTGACACTTTGGCTCTTCGACTAGTCCCCACAGATGAAGGTTCGCTGGCGATGGTAAAGTGTTATATACTGACCGCAACAGGAACTGGATCCTCAATGGTTCATAGCGCCACAGGTCTGTCCATGTAAGTTTTCGCTCCGGCAGCTTCCATTTCGTCCATGCTCCTTGAGAGCCCATTTCCACTGCCCTTGCTTTCCTGGTCCCTTCTTCTTCTCTGCGGATTTCTCCCTGTACCAGAGATCTTTTCTCCTTATCATCTGATCCTTCCCACGTCTGAAAATGGGTTGTCCCCAACCCTTGCCGGCCTGAGCAGGTTGCTCCGACGATGTCCCGGTGCTTGAGAGCGCCCTCGGCCTGCTCCACAGACTGGCTTGCAGACCATTTCCTTCCTGTCCTAGTCTGGATTCCTGCATTTCTTATCTTCACGTCCTTTGAATCTCGCAGCGTCATCACTAGTCTGGCCTTTGTTACCTTGAACTCCTCCACCAACGATGACAGTGGGAGTTGCAGTGATGATGTCCGGCTGTAGAGCCCAATGCTGGAGAAACTGGGCGGGACTCCAAGCCACCTCCGCAGGTAGCTGCTGATGGATCTTTCCAGTCCTTCCACTGTTGTCAAAGGGACCTCATATAGCATCAGGGGCCACATGAGTCTCGGCAGCAGTCCATGTTGGAAGATCCATGCCTTGAACTTTCCTGGCAGGCCTGACTTGTCAATCTTCCTCATCCACTCAATTGCCTGCTTCTGCATGCTGCTGATGTTGCTGGTATCTTTCAGTGATGCATCAAACCACTTTCCTAGGCACTTGATTGGGTTGTCCGCAATTGATGGGATCTCTTCTCCTTGTACTTTCAGCTTGAACTGTTGTGTCAGTCGTCCCTTCCTCATTATCATGCACCTTGATTTTCTTGCCTTGAATTTCATCCTCGCCCATGAGACTACCTCCTCCAATGCAGACAGAACCCATCTTGCTTGGACATGTGTGGTGGTAGTCACAGTCAGGTCATCCATAAAACCTCGATTCGATGGTTGGTAGATTCCTGATTCTGTCCTGGGCCCCCTGGTTTCCCGTCCTGCTGCCTTGATGATAAGATTCATCCCCATGACAAATAGAATGACTGATATGGTACATCCTGTCACTATTCCTTTCTCTATGTTTTGCCAGGATGTTGTATCCTCCCCGACAGTAAAGCGCACCTGGATTCCACTGAAGTAGCTTCGTACTATTCCCTGTATATGCTCCGGGATAAAGTAATGTTGTAGGGCTACTTCAATCAGCTCATGTGGTATTGATCCGTATGCGTTTGCCAGGTCTAGCCACACTACTGTCAGATTCCCTCGGCTGGACTTGGCCTCTCTGATTAGTTGGCTGAGCACACTGGTATGCTCCACACAACCTGAAAAGCCTGGGATACCTCCTTTCTGTACTGATGTGTCAATGTATCCATTGGTCATCATGTATGATGTCATCCTTCTTGCCAATACTGCAAAGAAAATCTTGCCTTCAACACTCAGCAAGGAAATTGTCCTGAACTGCCCGATGTGTTTTGAGTCCTTCTCCTTTGGAACAAAACATCCCTCTGCCTTCTGCCAACATGGTGGTATCTTCCCCTTCTTCCACACTTTCCTCAGTAACTGCCATAGTCTCCTCAAAAGCCGTGGGCACTTCTTATACACTTTATAAGGAATTCCACTTGGGCCTGGAGCTGAACCAGTTCTTGCCTTCTTAACAACATCTTGGATCTCCTTCCAAGTTGGTTCCTTGGTGTCAAACGGAAACTCTGGAGGCTCCTCTGCTTCTATCCGTGGACAGTTCCCAAGTGGAATGCCCCTATCTTCATCTCCGTGCGTTTCCCTCAGGTGTTGCTCAATATCTGCTGTTGAACTATTCAAACGGCCTGATCTTTCCCCTCCCAGCAGAGTCTTTGTAAAATAAAAAATAAGGGTCCTTGATAAAGGACTCCCTCTTCCTTGCTCTATCCTTCCTTGCCTTCTTAACCTGCTCTGCTTTCCTGAGTCTTGCCAAGTTCTCCCTGATGTCGTCCCGCAGCTGATGTAATCCAATCCTCTCTATATCATATAGATTCATATACAGAACAAACATCAAGAATGTAAATATATATGTATGAACGGTGGCGTGGCTATGAATGCAAATAACATAGTAAAGCAGTGATCGGCCTTGAAGTTGTTTACACCTCACAAACGTGATATTTAAAAGTGAATCACACCCTTACTGAAAAACTCACATCAGTAGAAAAATCTATTGGTATTGGTAGAAAACGTGAAAACGAACTGGCAACAAAAATTACACTATTAGAACATGAATATGACTTATTGAAACTGAATTTGGATCGTCTGCAATCGGTCATTGAGTTCAACAAAAGAGTCTCAAGCGACCTACGTGCTATCGGGGATTTTGACTACACCGTGTACGAAAAAACTGTTCAAAATGTATCCAATCAAGTTTGTAATATGTCGTCAAAACATAATCCAAGAAACACAACAGTCCAAACTAAAGCCCCCACACGTAGCATCTCACCCATGAAGAAAACAACCGACACTCACATTCCAATACCTGCGCGCGCAAGGTCACTATCGGGTGGGAGTACAAACAATGCAAGCGTCTCACTCGGAAAACCGGTTCGACGAGTACCTGAGCAGCCGGGCGGTGTACGGAATACATGTGATTCGATTCAGAATGTAAACATAAACACAAGCACGTGCTCTCATGAGAATGATAAACAAAACTCTGAAAGTGTACCTACAGTACAACAAATGAGCATTAAAGAGCATACATACGCGGACATTCTCCAATACAAGGACAATACCAGGACACAGGGTAATTCTGCTGACATTCATCATGCAAGCAATGTTGCACATAAGCAAAGAGCCACGGAATTCAAAATACCTGTTTGTATTGATAGAAACGTGCCCGAGCCGCAGTCTGTATCCGACACTAAGGCAGATACGGACGACTTGTTCTTCACCAAGACGCGTGCGTAATGCCCGATACTACATAAGCAATATTGACGACAGATCGACAAAAAATGGTTTAGCAAACTTTTTTTATCAGACAGGAATCACGGTGACACATTTAGTGATGTTTGACTGCCGCGGAAATAAAAATTCAGCAAAATTTAACGTCATTCTGGAGGACATGGAGTAAGTTGAGTCACATGGGTTTTGGAATGGTAAAATCCGATGCCGTCGCTGCCTCAGCGAACATGACTGGAGGGTAAAGCTCGAAGAGAAACAAATGGACGTTTACCAATCAGGTTCTCACCACAATGAATATAAAGAATCCAAGCATGTAAGGTAGACACCCCTTACCGCATACCAAACCTTCACACGTCGCTTTTATACTCAAAAAGAGGCTTCCTATATACTTACCTGGAATGTCCGAGGATTAATGTCGCCCGCCTTATGCCTTTGTAATGTTATAGACACTCTACATAGTGACATCGTCGTCAAAACGGAGCATAAACTCACTGAGCACTCTGTACAGTGTTTCGATAATCTGCATAGCGATTATGTTGCGTTCCCAACTAAAGGACTTAATGCCAACAACAGTGGGGGAGTAGCGATACTAGCACGGAAAAATAAGTTCTTTGGAATACGTTATCTTGAAATTTCAACAAGAACCCTCTAACGCTCGTCAGACTTTACACAAAGGCTATACTACCGTCTATCCTCTATGGATGCATTTCCATTGTTATTATTCTGTCAGGAATGTGGTCAGGATCCCATGACCATAACAGTGCATGTGATCTTTGCCGGACTATTAAAATTATCTTAATAATAATAAATAATAATTCGAGGTGCTAATATACCGCTTTATCACAACCTAGTTCGTAGGTCGTCTCAAAGCGGTTCACAAGTTATTATCCGTGGTTATAGGGCCTTTGCAACCAGCCAATACCTTTCTCAACTCCACGGGGAGCATACAGCCGGAGCTGCCATTTCGGCGCTAACAGCTAGCATTCAGCACTGCCCAACCACGTACTCATCTACAGCTGAGTAGACTGGAACAAGTGGAGTAAAGTATCTTGCTCAAACATACAACACAACGCCGTGCCGTGGCGCGAACCCGCAACCCTTCGGTCACGAGCCCGGCGTCCTACCACTGGACTACCGTGCCTCTTCATGGATACAAAGTAGGGGATGAAATGTTCCCTAAGGTCCACAGGAAATATTTAAGGTAGGTCATGATCAGGTTATCCGAAACTTATGTAATCTTGTTTTTGGCCTTACTGTAGTTTATTTGGGGAAATAACACTTAAGGGTACAAATTCAAAGTTGGTTGGAATGACTATATATAGCTATCATGTGACTGAAGTGTGATGCTATGAAAATTAAGAACCTGGTCCTTCCCTAGGGCCTGTGGGGAGGGGCCAAAGAGGGCGAATTGACTGAACTTTCAACAATCTTCTTCTTCAGATCCAGATATGTTAGAATCAAACACTCTTCATGGATGGAAAGGTCCTTAGTCGCTTTATCTGAAATTGTTTTTCATTATCCCCGTGTCTTTCGTTCCTCAACTATATCATTTTTTTCCTCAAAATTGTCAGCAATATATACCGTATGTCAGACAATTATGTACACGCCAAAAATGATATATCAATAATATATGTTGGTCACTCCCAACATGAATTCAAAAAGCCTTTTTTGGATCAAATGATCTTTTCTTCTGTTTTTGTTTGATTTTTACATCACTACAATAAATAACATAATTGCATTACAACTCCGGTCCATGTATCTCTGGTATAATTTGTCGAGATCACTGTTGTATATGTATCATTTCTGTGTTGTAATTGCAATGTTCTGTTTATATCTAATGCAGATCTCATGCTTTAGGTTCAAAATATCTTCACGATATGATGCTTTCTTACATTACAATGTAAATGATTAAATTGTTTTATCATCTGGATGCTGGTTTAGAGTTACAAATTGGGAACCATAATTATATATAATTACTTAATATTGATTTAGAATCATCTTTCATAACTACTTAATACTGGTTTTTTTCTGTGTGTACTTAGAAATTACCATGCTCTTTGCAGGTTATGAAAAGAATAATACATTAAAATGGTTAAAATCAGTGTCTTATAACGAAAAACACCTACTGGCAATCCGTAGACAACTACCAAAGTTTTCCGCATGTCTGTTACCACCCAGAAATACAATCATGCTAGCCCCTTCCAGGAGTCATACATGGCCGAGATATACAACATAATAAATAGTGAACTATAGTTTGAAGGTTGTTTCGAAAAAACAAATACAATACCAACTTATGTTTCAAAGTAAACATTGACATTTTTTATTAGGCTGGGGCATTGGGCTTGGCAATTTAGGCAAACATGTAGATTTTTATGAACTGACCTCACTATGTCCTATATGATTTGACATTTGACCTTTAACTTTTGAAAAAGTTGGACTGGGGCATATCGTCTTTACTATTTCACCTGGAGTAACCAGATTTAGTGTACAAGACATCTTTGGATGGCAGAGTGAAGAGTGCGCGATTTAGGTCACTGTGACGGATGACTTGACCTTTGACCTTTACCTTTGAAAATCTTTGTATGGGGCATATGCTATTTCACATGGAGTAACCAGATTTGGTGAACAAGGAAATCTTTGGATTTTGTCTTGAGAAAATTTTGCTCAAAAGGGATCAGGCTATACATTGACAAGGGTGTTAAAATAATAATGTTTACATTTGCATGGCATTGTCACTATATAGCCTCTTTGAAAGCTGTGTCGTTGATGGGACTTTAATTACCATGCATCACGAGACACAATTCTTAGCGTATTAATACGACACTGACCGGAACTACAATATCCAATATAAATAAACATGAAGGCTGCTGAAATATTGCTGGGCATTGTGAGATTTGACAAAGTCATTGTAAATTTTTAAAACTTTTATTACTACGAAAACAAGACCAAGGTCTGCAATATCGTTATAATTATTGAATGACACAGCTTTGCAAGCAAACAACTCATAATGCGCTAGCGCGCATTATGTTGTTCGCTTGCAAAGCTGTGTCATTCAAATAGATCCTAAATACCATACAAAAACTGTTCAATGCTTAAGTAAATAAGTAATATAACAACAAAAAGGCCTACATGGAATATCTGATAGGTTTTCATAATTAAAATAAAAAATTAAACAACCATTCATTTCATTTTCATGGAAGAATATTCAGCACACGTATGTCCTAAGGAGGGATTCTGTTCGTTTTGTTACCCTAAAGTTCTTAGCAGGGGCGCTGCAGGCGCCTGAGATCTACATTCTCATCACAAAGGTTACTGAACTATGTGCGCTCGCTTATAGGCAGTGCCTAATTCATATTCATATATTTTGAACTATATACAGTTGTGTATTTTTTCCGTTCTTGTTATGTAGGGATAACGACCCGTAATGTTATGTAGAGATAACGCCCTGTAATGTTATGTAGGGATAACGACCTGTTATGTTACGAAGGAATAACGACCTTTAATGTTATGTAGGGATAACGACCTGTAATGTTATGTAGGAATAACGTCCTGTAATGTTATGTAGGAATAACGACCTGTAATGTGATGTAGGGATAACGCCCTGTCATGTGATGTAGGGATAACGACCTGTAATGTGATGTAGGGATAACGACCTGTAATGTTATGTAGGAATAACGCCCTGTAATGTTATGTAGGAATAACGACCTGTAATTTGATGTAGAGATAACGACCTGTAATGTGATGTAGAGATAGAGATAAAGACATGTAATGTTATGTAGAGATAACGGCCTGTAATGTTATGTAGGGATAACGACATGTAATGTTATGTAGAGATAACGACCTGTAATGTTATGTAGAGATAACGACCTGTGCTGTTATGGAGGGATAACGACATGTAATGTGATGTTGAGATAACGACCTGTAATGTTATGTAGAGATAACGACCTGTAATGTAATGTAGGGATAACGACCTGTAATGTTATCCTAATTCATATTCATATATTTTGAACTATATACAGTTGTGTATTTTTTCCGTTCTTGTTATGTAGGGATAACGACCCGTAATGTTATGTAGAGATAACGCCCTGTAATGTTATGTAGAGATAACGACCTGTAATGTGATGAAGGGATAACGACCTGTAATGTTATGTAGGAATAACTTCCTGTAATGTTATGTAGGAATAACGACCTGTAATTTGATGTAGAGATAACGACCTGTAATGTGATGTAGAGATAGAGATAAAGACATGTAATGTTATGTAGAGATAACGGCCTGTAATGTTATGTAGGGATAACGACATGTAATGTTATGTAGAGATAACGACCTGTAATGTAATGTAGGGATAACGACCTGTAATGTTATCCTAATTCATATTCATATATTTTGAACTATATACAGTTGTGTATTTTTTCCGTTCTTGTTATGTAGGGATAACGACCCGTAATGTTATGTAGAGATAACGCCCTGTAATGTTATGTAGGGATAACGACCTGTTATGTTACGAAGGAACAACGACCTTTAATGTTATGTAGGGATAACGACCTGTAATATTATGTAGGAATAACGTCCTGTAATGTTATGTAGCAATAACGACCTGTAATGTGATGTAGGGATAACGCCATGTCATGTGATGTAGGGATAACGACCTGTAATGTTATGCAGAGATAACGACCTGTAATGTTATGTAGGGTAACGACCTGTAATGTTATGTAGGAATAACGACCTGTAATTTGATGTAGAGATAACGACCTGTAATGTGATGTAGAGATAACGACCTGTAATGTGATGTAGAGATAGAGATAAAGACATGTAATGTTATGTAGAGATAACGACCTGTAATGTGATGAAGGGATAACGACCTGTAATGTTATGTAGGAATAACGCCCTGTAATGTTATGTAGGAATAACGACCTGTAATGTTATGTAGGGATAATGCCCCGTAATGTTATGGATAACGACCTGTAATGTTATGTAGGAATAACGCCCTGTAATGTTATGTAGGAATAACGACCTGTAATGTTATGTAGGGATAATGCCCCGTAATGTTATGGATAACGACCTGTAATGTTATGTAGGAATAACGCCCTGTAATGTTATGTACGAATAACGACCTGTAATGTGATGTAGGAATAACGACCTGTAATGTGATGTAGAGATAACGACCTGTATTGTGATGTAGAGATAACGACATGTAATGTTATGTAGGGATAACGACCTGTAATGTTATGTAGAGATAACGACCTGTACTGTTATGTAGGGATAACGACATGTAATGTGATGTTGAGATAACGACCTGTAATGTGATGTTGAGATAACGACCTGTAATGTTATGTAGAGATAACGACCTGTAATGTAATGTAGGGATAACGACCTGTAATGTTATGTAGGGATAACGACCTGTAATGTGATGTAAGGATAACGACCTGTAATGTTATGTAAGGATAACGATCTGTAATGTAATGTA